AACAGCTGTTAACATTAATGTTGTGCGGGTTGGTACAGTTAGTGACAGTACAACCACAGTTAACATAAATATGAATAAATTAAATAAAATAACCACCTTTCAACCAGTACTATAAATGTTCTACTGCTAGAAATAAGTTATCCACTTTTCTCTGTACCTGCTTTGCAGGCACCGTTATCACTGCTGCTGACATCTGCAAAATATAAAGTTATTAGTGAAGAAATCAGTCTGGATAACAGCAAACCGACTGCACGTAAAATATACCACAGGTCTGGACCACTCGTGAATTTTGTTTGTATCTGAAAAAAATCTTACAACACGAGAAAATTGACTGTAACAAGTTCTAAATCACTCGTACGCACAACTTTAGAACAAATCTGTGGGTACCAACGGTTCWTGCATGTGGCTCAATGATTCTAGGGTCAAATGTGAGACCATCAGTCTAACAGATGATGCTTGGACCAAATTGGGCCATTGTGCAACAGAACACTGATCCCAAACACAACAGAACAGCTTAAAAACAAAAGAAGTGAAGAAGAGAAGTCAAAGTTTAGACTGTAGCCTGACTTATATCTAATGGTGGAAATTTAAAAGAGTTGTGGAGAAACATTGGTCTGCAAACCTCACTAAACTGAAGCACTCTTGTAAGGAAGAGTGGGCCTAAATTCCTCCACAACCCAGTGACAGGCTGATAGAGTCAATCATCTCTGAGTCACTGCTGCTAACAGAGGTTCTACAAACAGCTAGYACTGCAGCTGGATTTAAATTTTCTCTCACGGCGTTTAGTTTGGTTTATTGTGACTAATAAATAATGACATGATGGAATCTGTTGTGTGGTTTTATACATTTGATTTGGATCATTTAGAACTGGGCTCTTACTCCCCATCAAAAAGCTTCAACTTCACCTCTTACCTTTGTGTGTCGCTCAGATGCTCGACTCTCTCCTGGTGTGCCAGAAACTCCCAGCAGACTGGTGTTCTCTGCTCTGGGACCAACGGCGCTTAAAGTCAGCTGGCAGGAGCCGCGCTGTGAGAAGGACATCCTGGGATACTGTGTCCTCTACCAGCTGCTCAYTGGAGGTAAACATTTTAAAACAGATTCAGCCATAGTTTCATAACTACAGATATTGGTCACTTGGGCCAACTGAGACGAGGCAATAGTTTCTGCATGTTTCTGTGTTTGTCTTAAATATCTCATGAACAACTGGACAGATTTTAATTAAACTCTCTGAGTGTAACCAGTGGATGCACATCAATGACCCAAATCAAAAGGACTGCCACAGCTACGCAGACTTAGCAAAAATGCCTACAAATGTTAAGCTAAAATTTGATGTGGTGTGGAATCATCCCCAAAACTGGGGTCCCCCATGCTTCCTGGTGCTCCCCCATTTTCCCAAGAAAAGTTGATGTAGTGAAGTATCAAAAGTAAATTTCTGACACAAAATCTACTTAAGTATTAAAAGTAAAAGTACTGAGTAAAAGTGAGCAGTTAGATTTTCCAAAGGGAGGTGACTTCTCCAAAAAATATACAGATGAACCTTTGTTATTAACAGATACCACATAATAATGATATTAATCTAAAGTGTGCACCTTTGAACAGTTAAACACAAAACCATACAGGCTATAATCTGACTCCAGTAATGTCTGTATCTCTCACAACATGGCTGTGGCCACGCATTATTAAGTCATGGTCATGCATCACCTCATGGCCACAAGATTTTTTTTTCACTGCCATCTGACGGGCATGTACGTTTGAAAGTAGAGCCAAGCATCTTTAAAGACTTTCATTATTAACCCCAGGAGAACACAGGTACCTGGAACATGGTCTGCACTCCCCAAAACCTACATTAGACTAAATCTTTTGGCATCAATCCCGTCCACCTGTTAGCAAAATATCTCATATACGTATTCGTATCTCATATAAGAGCATGTAATATAGTGTGTGTGGTCATCTTCTGACCATGTCCATCCCTTTATGACCACAGTGTATCATCTTCTGACCATGTCCATCCCTTTATGACCACAGTGTATCATCTTCTGACCATGTCCATCCCTTTATGACCACAGTGTACCATCTTCTGACCATGTCCATCCCTTTATGATCACAGTGTACCATCTTCTGACCATGTCCATCCCTTTATGACCACAGTGTACGATCTTCAGGCCATGTCCATCCCCTTATGACCACAGTGTACCATCTTCTGACCATGTCCATCCCTTTATGACCACAGTGTACGATCTTCAGGCCATGTCCATCCCCTCATGGCCACAGTGTACC